AGGTTCTACCTTTATCCTACCCTTACTATCATTTTCTAACTGTTCGAAGACTGTTATACCTAAATTTATGAATTTTCGTTCATTACCACATTTATCTGTCGTATAATTCGTCTTATATGAATCTGCGTTATTGTTGCTATTTGCTTTTAAAGCTATATTAGCCGGGCCTTTGTTTCGTGCAAAATATATCCTTGCACATTTGTTAAATGCTTTCCCATCTATTAATCGACTGAGGCGCTCTCTTAAGGTTCAACTTGTACAATTAATTTTCCTTAATTAAACATGACGTTTTTAATGTTATCTCATGGATTATTTAATTCTTTTTGCTAGGAGACTTCAGCAGAAAAGCAACTTTGCTCCGCTTGCAGCCACGAATGTTTTCGACCGTCGACTGTGAGTAATTCATCATTTATCCAAATATTTACAACATTATTTATATTTGTACTCGACATTTAGGTTTCATCATCTTCCATTCTGGAAATTGGCTCAGATTTTGGCGTGCACCATTCTCCTTTTATCCATCCACAAAGGCCAAATTATGCTCTTTTAACTACAAGTCCAACATTCTCAGATGCACCTTCCCGTTCCTCACCACTTTCTAAAGATAAATATGCTTCACAAAAAAAGGTATCCTGGTGCAGCACTGCTCTTCTACAACTGCGAAGTATTGAGCCTACTCAGCCAGTGTCCTCACTGCCGCAATCAATTGGTTCACCTTGTTATGCAAATGAAACTTATGTAGCAGGTGCTTCTGTTCTCCTCCCGGCTTCCACTGATGCTGTACAATCGTATCTATGCCCAATTAGGATGGTTAGCTGTTCTTGTATTATCTCAATATTTCTTGTTACTGCATAAATCAAAGATCTAATCATAGATATGAAGACCAAGTCTCCTTTCGATGTATAGAAGTGGTTTGACCTAATTTTCGCAATAGGTCGACCTAGTTGGGTCTACCTTGTCAGACAACTTCTATACACTGAAGGACTTAATATGGTATTCATAAGCTTTATAACGCCCTTCAGTGTCTATATGCTTATTTGTTTATATAACTAAAACGATATACTACAATGCTTATCGGCTTAATTTTAAAGCGGCTCATATAACTTTTAGTTTGACTTCGAGTTTTCGACAAGATTATTGAGATCAGGGTTTTTAATGCTTATTAACGTCACATGCAGAATCATCATTATTATTAGATATTAGAATTCATTTTTGACCTGTAATTAAGGATGTTCTAATTAATTTTTATAAATACACTTAAAAACAGTCTAAAACTTAAACTGGCTTATCATGTGGAAGCCTTATTTTTATGTTCTGGAGTACTTTTCATTTCGTTTTAAGAGGCTAGTAGAAGGGATTCGTAAGTTCGTTCTATCGGAGGCTGTGGGGGTTGCCTTGGTTTCAAGCCTACTTCCTTATATTCCGATTTGGTCCACTTATACATTTCATGTTTTTGATGGATGTCCTATGCTTTGCCTCTATATTTTCTCATAAGCTAAGTTACGTGGCTGCGGATGACATGTGAAGTGGCTACAAATGAGGCGTGAAATAGGTGCAATTGAAACCGAACAGCTGCATCTCCCATAAAACACGTATGCCTTTGATTCTGCAACGTTACCGCATGTGATTGCGTCCCATTGTACACGTGTTGTGTGAGTGCATTGCTCCTAAGATAACTGTGATGCGAGAGTCAAAACCAGATTCAGGCCTAGTCAAACCTCCTCGTTCCCCCTCCCTCTCTCTCTGAGCCTAGCTATCAGCCACAAGTAATTTCTGCTTAACTTCATAGACTCATTCCTTCTATTTTATGGGTTTCTATCGCTTACTGGTTGGTATAGTCTTCATATCCAGCTAATCATTTGGAATTAGATTAATCTATCTGGTGTCCTATGGGAGGCATGTGTTCGGCCAATTCCGGTTTTTGGACTCACATACCCTTGCAGGCTGTTTTGTCTTCGGATTACCTTTTATGGATGGGTCCACACCATTCTATCTTATAGGCATTACCATATAAACAGAAAATCTTGTAACATCTCGACCTGGAGGGCGGGTCAGAGTATTTTCGAAAAGAAGACAATACCGAGGACTCTTATTTTCTTTTTATAAATGGTCCTGGTGTCCCACCTCAGTAATTCGCTTACCTTCTTCGCCAGACTACACGGTGCCAGCATAAGGATCCTAGCATATTTATCTATCTTTTTATTATGCCCCAAACATGTATTTCTCCATTCTATTTGACAATATTCTAAAATAGTTTCCAACCAGCCCTCCTGGATAATTATTTTTAACCAGAATTCGCCTTAGTCTACTCAGTACTTGGTCCCGATGTTTAACTTCTACCAGACGCAGGATCCTTATTTTCATAGACTTCATAGCTCCTACCTCAACCCCATAAGTGTGGTTGAAGAAGAAATTCAAGAGGAAATTTGTATTTGTGGGTTTTCTATACACATATCTACCTAATCCTGTCTCCTCTGCTAGCTAAGACATCAAGAAAAGGTAAACCACTCCTTTTCTAACTCGATAGTGAATTTCGTCTTCTTATTAATCCTATTCATCAAACCAAGAAAATTCTCCAGGTTTTCTTTGCCATGTTGCCAAATAGCATAGTCGTCCATTAGCGAACTAATAATTTAGGAACTAAAAGTGTCTTCTGTATTTAATGTTCCTTAAATTAAGCCATGTAATTATTTCATAGAATTGGTGACAAACACGATCCCATAGCTAAACCTCTTGTTTGTTTGTACAGCTCACAATTAAAGGTAAAATATGTACAGTACATCGCTAGGTTGGTAATACCATTATTGACTCTACTTAACTTCGTGCTCATTTACATCTCCCCATTTTGGTCTAGTGTGGATTGTAGGGATTGTATGACATCATCTACAGCTATGTTAGTGTACATAGACTCAACATCAAAACTTACCAACAAATTCCCACTTTATATCTCCTGCTCATCGACTAAGTCAACGAATTCATAGGAATTCTTGACTGAAACTTTCCACATCTCTGAGATTTGCTTTATTTCGTTACAAATAAATTGTGATGTTTTATGCATCATGCTTCCCTTATTATTCAAAATAATTTTAAGTGGCACTCCCTCTATGTTTTTTGAGGAGACCATATGAATTCGGAGGACTAGCATCGCGCTGAAGATGTTTGTTCATCTTTCACTTGTCCAGTTCCTTGTTTGCTACACAATGCTGCAGGCAACCTTTGAGTCTAGATTTAAGGGTTTCTGTATGGTCCCTACTGATTACCTTGAATGTGGTAGTGTCATCCAAAGCCGGTATCATTTTTTCTACATAGTTTAACCTACCCATAACTACCCCTCAGCACCATTTGATCCTCATCGCCCGGTTTCCTTATGTTTTTCATTCTCTTATTCCTTTAAAGGAACGACCTGCAATTGAATATTAGTCATAGTCTCTTCTGAAAGATAGGCAGGTAAAACTTATTAGTTCCACCAGAATCCCCTCCCTATTATCCTTACTGTTTGGCAAAGCAAAGTTCAAACCTTACGAGAGCACTTTCTCAATGGTAAAATCCAAAGCTGTTTTGGATAGATTTGCCACTTTCTCCCCAACTATCCTTTGCTCACCATTGTCTCTCATAGACGTATTTTGATTAGCCTTTGCCTTGGTTCCTATACTCAAATTCTTAAGTTTCTTATCATTTCTAAATTTAACCTGTTGAAAAACAATATCATAACCTGTCTGCCATTTTTTTTGTAATTTAGCCAAATCTTCTGATCTAAGAGTGTTTGCTAATGATTGTCATTTATTGGTTATTTTCCTTATCAAGCAGCGTAATTTTGTGATGAATTCTCGTGTCATAATATAAACCAAATCCTAGGATGCCTTCTGAGGGACTCGCTTAGATATTTCTGGCATATTTGGTCTATCTATAATACAAAAACTAGGAACGACCCTAAATAAAAAGCATAGTGCGGGTCCAAAAATCGGAATTGCCCGAACACATTGCTGGCACAGGACACCAGATAGATTGGTCTAATTTCAAACGATTAGCTGGATATGGAGACTATACCAACCAGTAAGCAAAAGATCAGATATGCGATATAAACCAATAAAATAGTTAACATCTTGAATAGAAAAAATGAGTCTAAGAAGTTAAGCAGAAATTACGTGTGGCTGATAGCTAGGCTCAGCGAGAGAGGGAAGGGGAACAAGGAGGTTTGACTAGGCCTGAATCTGGTTTTGACTTTCATATCACAGTTATCTCAGGAGCAATGCACTCACACAGCACGTGTACAATGGGGCGCAATCACATGCGGTAACATTGCAGGATCAAAGGCATAAGTGTTTTATGGGAGAATGCAGCTGTTCGGTTTCAATTGCACCTATTTCACGCCTCATCTGTAGCCACTTTAGATGTCATCTGCAGCCACTTAACTTAGCTTATGAGAAAATATAGAGGCAAAGCATAGGGCATCCATCCAAAACATGAAATGTATAAGTGGACCTAATCGGAATATAAGGAAGTAGGTTTGAAACCGACCCCCTTTCTTGTCTTCGTGTTTATGGTGCATTATCGTTGACCATGGTGTCCTGCTCTGACGATATCCGTCACATGACGGACGAAAGCTTAGCAAGGATTCAACGTGGTCGTCCGGCGGTGAGCCGAGGACCAATTCACACAAATCTACAACTGCAGCTCCAAGGCAACCCCCCACAGCCTCCGATGTAACGAACTTACGAATCCCTTCCACTCGCCTCTTAAAACGAATTGAAACAAACCCAAACATCAATCTATTAAGGGATTCTTCGAAACCCAGTTTTTATACATACGTTATTTATATGTGAATATACACTTGCATTTTTCCTCCTTATTACTACCTTATTTCATATAGATAAAAGGCATTTTCCACTAAGTTTATCAAACTCGCTTGGCTATTTTACATAACCCCATTTTGTTTATATCAGGTTTCACATGAATCACTTCTTACTTCGTCAGGGCCTTCCGAAGCAGAGACTTCTGAGCTGGTAAGTTCATATGTGATTTCCTTTGCTTTCTTTTCAGTTATTTATGAGTACATTTTGGCCAAAAATGAGGTGTCCTTCACGCCTTCTCTTGTGCTCTTTTTCTTTACTACGCAGCTACAGATTGTCATTGAATTGAACAGAATAAGGTTCAAATAAACAAGTAAGTAATTGTGATAGTAAAGGGATGCTAAAAGGTTATAGGATAGGTGAATACGCCGGGACAGATGGAGACATACCACAACTATTTATCTGATAATTGGTCAGCGTCTACTTTACTTGTCTCTGGCGGGCTGTAGTCTGTTGGTAAGACGGACAAGGCTTAGTGACGATGCCGACGAAACGTCTGTTAATGTGGCAAGTTCATGGTCAGAATCTAGACATACTATTGATTCCGAACAAGTTGGCTTCCTCTAAGTCTCTCTGACAATAAGGCCAAGTTGCGAAAATAAGGTCTGGTAATTTCTATACGACGGAGACCTCAACTATACTAAAGGCTACACCATCTTGGTCTTCATACCTTTTGCTTTATTTAATTAGAATTTATTCTAATTTCACTTCTTGTGATCAAAAAAGAGTTTACTTGTTTCTATGTCATCTAGAGCTAATATGCAAAGAAATTGGATTTAAAAAATCCCTTAATAGATTGATTCTGGCAGACCCTTCATTTCTTTTAAGAAGGCGGATAGAAGAGACTCGTAAATTGGTCTTACCGGATACTGACGTAAGGCTACCTTGGACTTGTGACTGTTGTATTGTGTGATGATAACCCCAGCTCATCGTCTTGTGGACCAGATGAATTATTGCTGAGCTTTCAACACTTATGGAACAGACATCTTCCGACCCAGAAACCATCATTTGCGAGCGATAATAAAAAAATACAGAACCAAGAAATGTGGTCGTCTGAAATTCTACTTACATAATATATCTAACTTTGCTATCTTAATGAAGCAATCCGTGATATGCTTGGCTAATTTTTGCTTGTCCTATATGCTTGTAAACTAGTGAAGTTAATAAAGAAGGGGAGCTGATGCACTCATATCTTTTACTTATGCAAATAAACTAGTGCATGATTGTGAAATATTGGTATTTGCTTTCGGTTTGTGGATGTGAGTTCAGTGAATGCATACACTAATCATTAGTTATTTGACAACTTCGAGCGCCTTATTGTCTTACTCGATGTCTCCTACTATTGTTTCTCTTCAAAATGTTCATTGCTTTGCTAGTTTTAATATATTCCCTTATTATCTGCTTAACCTTGAAGTCTCAATAATTTTCAAAACATTGGGTTTTAGACCCCTCTCTGATGTCTTTTAGTGACTACAACCAGCTCCTCAGATGTTTGAGCAAATAAACATTTGCCTGCGATTTGGTGTTCTACCAATCTCTTGTGTATTAGCTGATATCTCGCCATCACAGCACAAAACCTTATAATAACTTGTCCTGCAAAGGTGGTCTGAAGATTTTCTGAAAGACAACATAATCGCGAAGAGCATTAGTATTTATTTATACATTGTCCTGACGT